GGTTGCCACCCACACGACCCCAACTGGGACCCGACAAACTGCAACCAAGGTATGTGCCCTTAGTGGGAACCGAACCAGGTCTCTCTGGTCAGCGGGCCGACGCTCTAACCCCTGAGCCAAACTGGCCAGGGCAATAATCAGTAGAATTTAAATAAAGGAGTTTATCCTACATAATCTGAGTGGGCCTAATTCAATTAATTGAAAGGCCTTAATAGAACTGAGGTTTCCCAGAAGAAATTCTGCCTGTGGACTGAAACTTCGCTCATGCCTAGAGTTCCAGCCTGCCTTTTGTGACAGCCTGCTATACAGATTTCAGGATTGACCCCTAGCAATTCCCCACAGCTGTGCAAGTCAATTCCTTGCAAAAATTCCTTAATGTACATCTCCTGCTGATTCATTTCTCTTGTGAAAAAGGGGCCACATACTAAACCTGACAAGCTCAGGGGAGGCCTGCATGGCAGGCGTTACAAACTCAGAGACCTAAAGTAACCACATAGAATGGTCTGAAATTAAAATTTGGGTCGTCATGTCCTAGGCTGATATCTTCCCTGACAAAGGCCAATTTTTGTTGTTATTGTTGTTAATCCTCACCTGAGGATATTTTTCCATTGATTTTCAGATAGAGTGAAAAGGAGGGAGGGAAAGAGACAGAAAGATCCATGTGAGACACATCGAATAGCTGCCTCCCGCATGACCTCCAACTGGGGCCGGGGATTGAAACTGCAACCCAGCTACATGCCCTTGGCCAGGAATCAAACCCGAGACCCTCCTTCTGAGGTCTGATGCTCTAATCGCTGAACCACACCGGCCAGAGCACAAAGGCCAATCTTTACTTTAACTGAGCCTATCTATTGTCTTTTATATCTACAATAACATACCTTTGGAATATCAGTAATTTCCTTTTTTTTCTGGACCCCTCACTGCACCAGAACAGAGACCACAAAACCCCTCATTGTTATTATCATGCTGTTAACCGCTAGCTATCCTATACCCATAAATGTAAAAAGCATGTGTCTATTCGTTTTACTTTTTATCCAGTCCCTGAGACCCAGCCACCCACTACCACTTTGCTTTTCCAACTCCTAATCTATGACCAGTGGATTTAATATAATCCCATTATGTGTTTCCCCCTGATTCTGATGTATAAAATAAGTGGTAAAACTGCCATTTTCTGGAACATTTTCTCAATCCGCTGAGATTTTGCTTCCTGGCAATTGTCAGTTTGGCTCAAATAAACTCATAAAAATTCTCTACAGGTTTAAACGTTTCTTACGTTGACCCTCTGGTTGAGCACTCATGCAGTGATTGAGCATGAGTATTTTCAAGTAGTATTATGTACAATTTGGACTATATTTTAATAATAACAAATACAAATATTTGTATTTTAATAATAGCAAATACAAACATATTTTGTATATATAGGAGTGAGTGTTTGTGTGTGGGGGGGCAGTACACACATGTGTGTTTTCTTTTTGACTAGGCCAACCTTGGTCTCTTATGTCCTTCCTTGTAGTGTCCGGTTCTAGCAAGAATCCTGCTAAGCAATTTGTTTAGTTTATTATATTCCACAAATAAGTGAGATCATGTGATATTTGTCTTTCTCTGCTTGGCTTGTTTCACTTAGCATAAGGTCCTTCCATGCCATCTCAAAGGATAAGAGATCTTTCTTACAGCTGCATAGTATTCCATTGTGTACATGTACCACAGCTTTTTAATCAAAGGATAAGAGATCTTTCTTACAGCTGCATACTATTCCATTGTGTGCATGTACCACAGCTTTTTAATCCACTCATTTACTGATGGACACTTGAGTTGTTTCCAGAACAAAAACAAATTAATAAAAATAAATAAAGAAATAAAAAGAATCCTGCTAAGTCATTTTAGCTGGAATCCCTCTCCCTCAATATCTGATTGGGTTCCTCATCCCAGGTGATGTCTATTACCCTAGCCTGCTTTCAGTAAGAATCCTTGGAGTCAATCTAGCAATAATTTTCCTTACCCCATTGTAATTTTAGTAATTCCTTTCAGTAATTTTCCATCCACTGGACCCCACAACCTGCTCCTTGACTAGAAATACCCTTTCCTTGTTGTACTCAATGTTGAGCCCAATTTTTCTCCCCGATTACAAAACCCCACCATAGTAGCCCCCTTGAATAAAATCTGGTTTACCATCTTTAACAAATATATATATATATTTATACTGCTATATCATTTATACAATTTTTTAAAACACAGATATGAAAAGAAAAATGTTGAGATTAAAAAGTAAATACAGCCCTGGCCGGTTTGGCTCAGCGGTTAGAGCGTCGGCCTGCAGACCAGAGAGTCCCGGGTTCGGTTCCTGCTAAGGGCATGTAGCTCTGTTGCAGTTTGTCCCTGGATCCAGTTGGGATTGTGTGGGTGGCAACTACTAGATGTGTCTCTCTCACGTTGATATTTCTCTCTCCTCCCACCTCTTTCCCTCCCACTCTATCTGAAGATAATTTGCAAAAATGTCCTTGGACGAAGATTAAAAAAAAAAAAAAAAAGTAAATACAAATAGAAGTTGTAATTCTCTTCCTGTATCTCAAGAGTCATCTTGCATTTATCTCACTTTGAGGTCATTCCTCAAACTATTTGTCGAAAGATGTGTACAAAGGTGATTCCAGGGTTCATATCTTAAAAGGCAGTATGGTACTTGTTTCAATTTGTATTTTTAAATTCTCAATAAATAACTTTTTTCTTTAAAATGGAACACTTTGGGAGTTTCCAAAACACTCCAAAAGAGTGAGCACTTAGGACAGTTAATACAGATCAGCCAAATGTGCTCCCCATTTAGTCATTCAAGTTGGTTTATCACTATGCTGAACACTGCTAACCATAGTAGCAGTCTGATTGCTTTAGTTTTAATGGTTTTTGTTCTTAGTCACATGAATTTGATTTATATTCCAAATGGATCTTCCATTTAAATAGGGAGCAAAAGGAAAATACCATTAAAATGCTAGTTAAGGAAAGCATTAAAACTGATAACTGTGGCCCTGGCCAATTTGGCTCAGCGGTTAGAGCGTTGGCCTGTGGTCCAGAGAGACCCAGGTTCGGTTCCCGCTACGGGCATGTACCTTGGTTGCAGTTTGTCCCCAGCCCTGGTTGGGTTGGGTGGGTGGCAAACACTTGATGTGTCCCTTTCACGTCGGTGTTTCTCTCTCTCTCCCTCCCACTCTATCTAAACCAAAAATGAAAAAATGTCCTCGGGTGAGGATAAAAAAATAATAATAATAAAAATAAAATCGCTTTAAAGAAAAAACAAGAAAAAACTGATAACTGTGCATTTTTGCCTCGGGTGATTTTCGTATCTATATATTTCACTTAGTTCATTATATAGAATGTTAAAAAGAGAAATACAGTAATAATTACACCCAATTTGGCTTTTCATTTATTGAGAATAAAAAGAAGTTATATCTATTTCTCATGTTTCATTTAAAAATAACAACCTGAAACCTTCTCTCATTATTTAGATACAAAACACAAAAAATTATAAAGCAGTTTTTGCTTGGCTTTAATCCTATAAAGTGCACTTAATTTTTACTCTAGAAATGTATAATTATTATATATCACAAACCCTGTTTTCTCTTACACAAATGTTATATATGTATTTCCTACATGTTATATAGGAAAACTATTGTAGAAAGAGAAAAGTCCACTCAGGAAAAGTTTTTGGTATTTATAGATTGATTTTTACTTTTGCTAAACACAAAAGTGATGAAATATTACTAAATGGACTCACAGAAGTAAAAGGAATTCATGATCCAATAAAGGCAGGGAAACCCTTCCTTAAACCAACGTGTTCCCATAAAGGCTGAAAATGGACTTCATAATACAATCTTGAATAATATACAATGTGTGTACCCACTGAAACTGTTAGTGCTTGACATTTTAACTACAACAGTATTTTTCTGTCCAGACAGCAGCCAGTTCAGCTTCATGTCATATTAACACTCGATTTTTATATGTAAGCAGCTGCTACCCGCACCATTATAGTATGTATAATTGCTAAATTTAGGATACTTTTATTATATTCTCAAATGGACACTAATATGAAAACCAAACACTGTCTTATCAAGTAAAAATTTTACAAACCAAAAATGTTACTATCCTCCACCCTAGTACAGTAAGTACGAACAACTAGCAGAGCACCAAGCAGAGTGGTAAAATGTCTGCGACACTAATATTTCTTTTTACAAACATACATGAAGTCTTTCCAGTTTTGCTAAGTGTCCTTTGGCTTTACTGGTGCTGATAAGTGAAAGGATAAAAAGCACAACACATCAGAACGTCAGCGGGTATTAATAAGAATTCAGGAGCAACAACCACATTTAAAGATACAGGACTTGCGCGTTGAGGGCTACAAATCCAAGTTCCCTGGCAGGGAGGTGGTGCTACCTTCAAAGTGGTAACTTTTTTAGACAGTGATACAGCCACGTCAAAGAGGGAGTAACAGACTTGTTCCTTTGAATCAAACTCGGAATTCTGGGCGTATGTAAGTGTTTCTGGGCCCAGTTCTTACTAAGTATTTCTCACCTAGGGTAGAAGGTTCGAGACATTACAATAAATCCCTATCCAAGACTGGCTCAGCGGGAGTTCTGGCATCTAAACGCACATGGCACAGTGTCAACGGAAAGACCCAGTCCCCCGAGAAAGAGGCGGAACCGGCGTTCATATTGTCCTTTATTGGCTACGCAGCCTGGAGACCCAACCCTTTATCACAACCAATGAGTGGCTGAAACCCGTTAACGTCACGTAACAGGCGGTGATTAATGTAAGCTGGCTCCCCACAGGCTCAGACATCCTGCTTTCGTCCAATCCGAAGAGAGGTCAGCTCTCAGCAATTCCTCGCGCCTCCCCGCCTCGCCTCTTTCGCTTCCCCTCGGCTGTGGCCCGCCTCTCTCCTGCTGACCAATCGTCTTCCTTTCCGTTGGGCGTTTACCCAATCCGAGAGGTAGAGGGTGGAGTTCCGGTCGTCTGCTCTGCGCCGTGACTGAACTCGCGTGCTCTCCCGCGCCAGTTGTGGGCTTGTAGCTGAGGTACATTGCGCAGGGCCGGTTGGGCGAGGCCCGGGGCGGGACAGCTCTCCCGACCGGTGGCGGCAGGATGGGTTGAGCCTGGAAAGCCGGAGTTGCTAAGCCTCTAATGCCGAGGGTCATGGGGAGGAGCTGGGAGGAGGGACCAAGCGTTGGGGCTTCTGGTGCCGCGGTCCGAGCCGCGGTCGACCCGCGCAGTCCTGCCCCTAGGGCCGCGCCGCCCCAGCACTTTCTTTGGGTCGTTCTTCATTAAAAGCGTAGCGCCCTTCGCCAAGCGTTCGACGAAGGGTAGCCAGGTCCTGGTTTTCCCTTGCTCCTCCGTCCTTCCCCTCGCATTCTTTCCTACCCACCCCCTGCGTTTGTTCTTTTCCGCGGGCAGAAAGCACGTTTTCCTTTGGGAAGGGCGTGGAACGAACCACGAGATCAGCTAAGCTAAGCACTTTGCCAAAGGAAAGTGCTAAATGACTACTCCGCGTGTTTCCTTCAGCTTGTCTTTGACAGCTTGAGTGGCATTCGAGCTCCTGTTTTCAAACTTGACGTTATTTCAGAACACAGCATACTTACAGGGCAAGTGATGTAGTGGAAAGACATCGGAGTAGGAGCGGAGCCACTTACTAACCTTTGACATGAGCAGTCACCCTCTCAGCTTCAGCGTCTATAAGTGCAGCACTGAAGCCCATACCAGCCTTGTCTACTTCCTAGAGTTGTGAGGATCACATGAGAAGTGAATCTAAAATACAGAGTACTGACGTTAACTACATATAACTGTTCTTCCTTTCAAATACTTTCCTGTAGAGGCTACCCTATCGTTTGAACCCAGTGTGCATAGAATATATAACAGTGATAGAAGTGATTTTTTAAAAACTCTAAAAAATAGTACTATATTGTAGGGATATATTTTTTCACATTTTAGCATTTAAAATTGGATTCACTTCGCTTTAGTAAGTGCAGGTTTTTCTTGCATCCCACTGATTTAACTGGTTCATGTCAGCTAGATATATTGTACATGATGCAATGAGATTTTTAGCAAAACTCTTAACATTTTAAAGATCATAAAACTTCATTATATGTTCTACTTTCTAATGTATTTTCCAGATTTTCTGGGCTAAGCATTAATCATTATGACAACTTGAAAAGTACAAAGCATAAAATTGTTGGCAACAATGATAGAAGGAGCACTTGGAATCAGAGTTTCGCTCTAACTAGACCATGCAAAATATTTAGCTTTTCTGAGCTTTAGTTTACTTATTTCTAAAATAAGAATAATGGTATTTGTCCTATTTAACTCCTGGAGTGTAAGAATCAGATGAAATGGCAAATACTGCAGTCCTTTACAAAGTGGCATTCTTTTATAAACAAAATGTAAAGTTATATTAAGTATCTATTATACCTTGAAAGGGTTCAAATTTAGTATTAGTTCTGGTGTGGACCGCACTAGTTCATGTGATTAAAAAAATTTTTTTTTTCAGCTTTATCACAGTGGTTTGCCTCTTCATAAGTAGACTGGACCAAAAAATGATAAAAATCTTGTTTATCAAGTTAATGTTAGTGTTGAGTAATATTAGTCTCCAAATTTTATTTTACTTTGCTAACAATAGTTCCATAGGAAAATTAAAAGAAGCCTTTTCTTCCAAAGACTAATAAGTTTGATGTGCCATTATAATGTAAACGATTTTCCTGATAATGTAGCGTAGTCTATTTATCACGAAGGTTAAGATATCTCTTTCACATGTTTCTTAGTGTTAGTATGTATACTGAGATAAGTGACTCTTTATCGCTATTCTTTTTGTGGACTTTTCTCCTGATCATTATTACTTTTTATTGGTTTTTAATAAAAGGATTTCACCATTTCTTGAAATGCAGCAGAGCTAGTGGGTGAGAGCAGATTCTTTGTCGTTGTTGTTAATCCTCACCTGAGGATATTTTTTTATTGATTTTTAGAGAGAGTGGAAGGGAGAGGGAGGAGGAGAGAGTGAGACACATTGATGTGAAAGAGACACATTGATTGGCTGCCTCCCACACAACCCCCACTGGGGCTGGGGATTGAACTGGCAACCCAAGTACATGCCCTTGACTGGGAATCAAATCCAGACCCTTGGGTTCAAGGACTGATGCTCTAACCACTTAGTAACTGGCTAGGGCAACAGCAGATTTTAAAACCAAAATGCCTGAATTGAGTACTGTCTTTAATTACTAGCTCTGTGATCTTAAGTTGTTTATACATAACCATTCTGTGCTTCAATTTCCCATTTGTGAAATGGGATAATTATAAGTACTTTGTAGGATATTAGGAGAATTAAATGAGTAAAAATTTGTGAAGTGTGAAAACATTGCCTGACAAATGCTATTAAATAAATTCTTTCTCTGTTGATTTCATGCAGTATCATTCATCATGTATTAATGTGAAATAATAACTAGAAGAAAAAAGCTTTAGGTGATGACTTAATATTTTAAATTTATTATATCTTATAGCTGATATTATTTTAAACCTTTATTTAATTTTTAAATTTTTTTATCCTCGATATTTTTGCATTTATCGTAAGATACAATGGAAGGGAGGGAGGGAGGGAGAGAAACATCAATGTGGGCGAGACATGTCTACTGGTTGCCACCTGCACATCCTCAACTGGGGTCAGGGACAAAGTACAACCAGGGTATGTGCCCTTAGCAGGAATCGAACCCAGGACTCTCTGGTCTGCAGGCAGAAGCTCTAACCGCTGAGCCAAATGGGCCAGGACTTAAATCTTTCTTTAAGCCTTGGCACAGGCAACCAAAATTTGCACTGGATTTTACATCATTGGTATTGCCATCATAAAAAAAAAAAAAAAAAATCTTTCATAGTGTTAAGACTTTTCACATGTATATATATGCTTTAAATATTTTAACTCTAGCCTGGCTGGTGTGGCTCAGTGGTTGAGCATCGACCCATGCACCAAGAGGTCACCAGTTCAATTTCTAGTCAAGGCATATGCCCAGGTTGTGGGCCAAATCCCCAGTGGGGGGCATGCAGGAGGCAGCCAATCAATGTTCTCTCTCATTGATGTTTCTGTCTCTCTCCCTCTTTCTATAAGATCAATAAAGAAAAAAATTTTTTTTAATGTTTTAACTCTATATTGCTTGGTTGTTTGATGATGATTCATTTCAGTTTGTTCAAATAAGAATTATAATATGGTAGCCCTGGCCCTGTAGTTAGTTAGAGCATCATGCTGATATGCCAAGGTTGTGGGTTCACTCTCTGGTCAGGGCACATACAAGAATCGACCAATAATGCAAAAATAAGTAGAACAACAAATGGATGTTTCTCTCCTCTCTCTCCCCTTCCTCTCTCTCTCTAAAATCAATCAGTCAGTCAATAAAAATTGCCCTAACTGGTGTGGCTCAGTTGGTTGGGCATCCTCCCCTGCACTAAAAGGTAGCCAGTTTGATTCACAGTCAGGGCACATGCCTGGGTTGTAAGCAAATCTGATCCCTGGTAGGGGGTGTGCAGGAGGTAGTTGATTGATGTTTCGCTATCACATTGATGGTTCTCTCCTTCTCCCTTCCTCTCTCTCTAAAAATTAATTAAAATATTTTAAAATTAGCCCTGGCCGGTTTGGCTCAGCGGTTAGAGCGTCGGCCTGCGGTCCTGAGAGTCCCGGGTTCGGTTCCCGCTAAGGGCGCGTACCTCAGTTGCAGTTTGTCCCCGGCCCTGGTCGGTTGTGCGGGTGGCAGCCACTCGATGTGTTCCTTTCACGTCGATGTTTCTCTCTCTCTCTCTCTCTGTTCCTCTCTCTCCCTCCCACTCTACCTGAACAGAAAATGGAAAAATGTCCTCGGGTGAGGATAAAAAATATATATATATATATTTTAAAGTTAAAATAAATACTAAAAAGATTTATAATAACACCATTTTACATTTCTTTTTTTTTAAATATGTTTTTATTGATTTTTTTTAGAGGAATGGAGAGGGAGAGAGAGAAACATCAATGTGAGAGAAACATCAGTCAACTGCCTCCTGTACACCCCCTACTGGAGGTTGAGCCTGCAACCTTGGCATGTGCCCTGACCTGGAATCAAATTGATGACTTCTTGGTGCATGGGAAAAGTTCAGTCGGCTGAGCCACATCCACACATGCAGGGCCCATTTTACCTTTTTTTTTTTATCCTCACCTGAGGACATTTTTCCATTTTTTGTTCAGATAGAGTGGGAGGGCGGGGGGGGGGGGAGAGAGAGAGAGAGAAACATCGACCTGAAAGGTACACATCAAGTGGCTGCCACCCGCACTACCCATCCAGGGCCAGGGACAAACTGCAACTGAGATACGTGCCCTTAGGGGGAACCGAACCCCGGTCTCTCTGGACCACAGGCCAATACTCTAACCGCTGAGTCAAACCAGCCAGGGCAGGGCCCATTTTACCTTTGAATGGCTATTTTAAAATGTTCCATAGCCCTGGCCAATTTGGCTCAGCAGTTAGAGTGTTGGCCCACAGACCAAAGAGTCACAGGTTCGATTCTGGTCAAGGGCATGCACCTTAGTTGCAGTTTGTCCCCAGCCCTGGTCGGCCTGGTGTAGGAGGCAACCAGTCGATGTGTCTCTCTCACACCCATGATTCTCTCTCTCTCCCCCTTCCTCCCACTCTATCTGAAGATAAATAGAAAAATGTTCTCGGGTGAGGATTTTTTTAAAAAGCTTCATAAACTATGTTCTTTATATCATTTCTTCCAGACTTTCCCCCCTTTTTTCTGAGATTGTAACATCAAATGGAAGAATTTTTTTTAGTAACTAAAAAAGAAGTTTAGAATCACACAATTCCCCTGAGTCATTCTAAAACTACAAAGAATACAATTTATGAATCACGGGTTATTTTTGAAATTTTTGAATGATTAAAATGTGGATGTATTTTTTTTTTTTTTTTTGCATCAGAAACATAGTTTACATCATATAAGGCACATAGTATTAACTGCATTGTTTGCAGGAATTTTAGGTAATTTGATCCTATAAAGTATTTTCTGAAGGAAGAGC